TGAAAAATTCTTCACAGAATGGATGCATAAATTGTAAATATGTAATTTTGTCTCACTAATTCACACAAAACAATAGCATGGGCAAGACTATAAAATATAGGCCTAATATCTCTTGAGCTGGAGTTTATTTTTGAAAATTATATTCCTTTATACTTGAAGGGTTGATGTTTTGTGTACAGAGTTTATCTCCACACTAATACAGCATACCAGGAGTTATCTTTTCTAGTGTCAATTCAGAAGTGAAGCCAATCTCCCCCATTTTCTCTTTGGTGGTTTCTGACAAATTTATGCTAAAAGCGTGTAGGCAGGACTCTAACAAGGATGACCTAAATTTAATGATTAGATTAATAGTAGATCTAGAAATAATAGATAAAACCCAGGTTCTGCTTAGTGCTGTTTGGTTGAATCCATGATTAATTAAAGATTCATTTGTTGAAATGAAGCTTTATAAATCCTGTTCTTTCTTCAGAATAATAAAAATCAATAATTATAGCAATAGCCCAGTCTTGCCTAGATTGTGGAAATCTGAAATAGATTTTTTCCAGTAAAATGTATTTGGAAAAGTTTTTCCCCTATCATTTCTGGTGGCACATTTGCTCAGAGAACTTGATGTATGATTTAGTTCTCATGGGTACAGTTCTGTTACCCAAGTCTTTGAAAAACTTAAAAAAATAAATAAATCTGAATTTGTTGCCCAGTTTTATTATAACAGCAGTTTGTGGGTCTGTAGGAAAAACTTTGTGAATTCTGTATGTAGGCTGCACAGAATCAACAGATAATTCATCTTAATATCAGCAATACTGTGATTCATAATGCAAGCTGGGAGCATCCTTGAAGTTTTAGTCACACATTCCTTTTAATTTGGCCATGCACTCTTTTAAAGCTACAGTGTGCCAACTTAATAAAATGCAGCATGCAAATGCTCAAGTTTTTGCCTTCAGGCATTTAGCCATGATGTTTCTGTGGTGTCTCCTTTCAAGTATATATTCTTTCTTAAATTATTTACCCTGTAAACATGCTTTGCATTTTCAAAGGAGGCTCTGGATTCCCTGTCTGAGGGAGTTTGCTGAGGTTTTTTAGGTGAAAGGAATCTAAAGTTACAGATAGCATTTGTTTTTTTTTTTTGTTTTTTTGCTAGTGAATAAGCTATGTGGTTTTTTGCAGATGATGATGAACCTTATTTTTTTTCTTTCCCTCCTCCACTTGAAATTTCTTGTTGCTTTGCCTGGAGCTATACCCACTGGCAGTGTCTGGCTGTGACAGTATTAGAAACCTCTTTACAGATGGGCCCTGTCAATGCCAACTCCATTGTTCTGCCATCTGAGCTGGTTTGATTACAGAATGTTACTGAAATCCCACTCAGCACCCCCAATTCATTTCTTTAGTGCCCTGAGTTGTTGACTTACAGTCTGAAATGTGCTACTGGCAGAGTCAAAGTTTTTCATGGTCTATTCTCTCCTGTTGCCCTCCAAAGTGGAGCTTTGCTGTTCCAGCAATATTTCCAAGATGTTATTTGCTCTGCTTCCCTAGTAATGAAGCAATGGAGCCAACATAACTTTTGCAACAATGGAAAAGAATCTGATTATTGAGTAAAATATAAAGAATAACGATAATTATGAAAAGGAATTTTGATAGCATCCTTCCTATTTTATGATTAATTTCTTCTGTTCCACGTTGTATCCTTAGATGCAATGAGCTAGCTAATTCAAATTCCTCAAAGTTAACCTTTGATATACATATCCTACATTTGCACTTTAATGGAACATTTAATTAGCAGATATAGGTGGGGGCCTGCAAAGATTTGTCTTCTCATGAGGAGGATTTTAGAAACAAGTTTGCCGATTAACTAATCTTGCAATCAAGTATGCAGCCATAAAATCAGAACTGAAACATGTGAAGAGATAATTTCGTTTATTCTTTCCTCTGTTTAATTTAAGAGTACTGAAACACCAATAACTAGGTCAGATATGAGGCAGTGGCTTAAAAACGCTAGCGTCTTAGATATGTGCATTTGTCCAAATATGTGCTCAAATGAGGAAATATCATCTACACTTAATCCTCTGCATATTAGCATTATGGATGCCTTGGAGCTCTCATCCCATACATACAACGGTTGTCGGTCACAGTTGTATTAAAGGCATATTACTCTATTTTATTTAAGGCTGAATTTAAAAGACTCTTCATGTTTTTCAATGTGATTTTTTTTTTTTTTTGCCCAGTTTCAATTTTCCTAAGGTATTTTTTCCCCCCACAAGATCGATGAGACGGAGCAGACAAATCTGCAGGCTGCTTTTCATGCAGTTAGTTACTTTGGTCAAATAGTTGTCTCTCAAGTGTTGTTTTAGAGAATACCCCATATGAAAAGGGAAATAAAATAACAAAGAGAATGAATGAAAAAGAGAGAGGGAGAGAGCATTCTAAGCTCAGGTGTTAATCCACATTGCAAACTAATAGGAAGCAGAAGTCCCTTTAATTAGCTTTAGTTTGTTAGACCATTAAACCTTTTCTTTTTTTTCCTTCGAAGCAAGACAGAGAACTCTGCTCCTTTTGGCAGAGTAAATATTGCCTGTTAAGTTTGAATTAGCTGTCATCGTGGGAGAATTAATGCTGTGCTATCCTTTCTAGTGAGGAAAGGAAAAATAAACGAGACAGATCTTAGTTTAGCTTTAAGTGATAAATGAGGACAAAGCAGGCCATTCATCTCCTGCTAGCAAAGTGGACACAAGCACTAAAGCAGTTTTGCGGAAGACGTGTCAGCAAATGTGATCATTTTGTAACCTGTCAGGAGGATAGAGAGCTGGTCCTTTTAAAGTGTCACAGGGGAGTGTGTTTGTCTGATGTGACAGTTTTCATCCATCCATTTACTTTTTTTTTTCCTAAGGTGAATGTTGGAGCAAGAGGGAACACTGAAAAAAACAAGGAGTGATCTGAAATTGATTTAAGACTTTCTCCTACTTTCCAAAGCATCTTGTCCTATCTCCATTAGTTTCTATGTGTGTGTTGGGGAAGAGAGATGTACAAGAAATTACAATTTATAGAGTTTACAATTTGCAATCTTAAAAAAAAACCTGAGATATTTTTTTTTCAAATATATCAGTTTAACTAACTGATAACTAAGCCTAATAAATTTATTGTACCCAATCTCATTGAAATCTTCAATAAAACTTTCTAATATTTATTCTTCTTGTATCTGATTCTGATTATACTGATTCTATAGCCAAATCATTGTGACTAATATCTTATTTGAGGTGTATAGATTAAAACGTTCTATTGGATTATTACAAATATGTCCTACAAACAGTCTTAATTTTTCAAGCATTATTATGTTTGATATTATTTACATTTATTCTGTTTTAAGAGCTCTTTAATTACTCATTGTCTTTAAACAATGATGAGTGTTTGCTTGTATGCTAACAAAATAAGAGATTCATCTCTGCAAATGATGAATAACACAAAGTGTTATTGCTTCTTGAATCTTTTTATTGCTCCCTCCTTACTATACAGCAGGATAAAGCTTGCCTTATTACTCTGCTATTGAGACAAAGATGACTTTTAGAGCATGAAATCCACAGTTTAACACTTGCTTCTTTTTAATAAATTATCCTTTTCCTCAAAACTAACTTGATATTTGATAACAGTAACTGCATCACATTTCAATCATGATAATGTTTACTTCATGGCAAAATATCTTTTCTGTGGGTGAAATGGCAAAATTATTCCAGAAGATGCATAATGGTTTATGGTATTTGTAGATAATATGACAAAATCCATTTCCTATGCAATCGAATAGTCAGGAGATAGGTAGGTAGGTGGGTGGGTGGGTGGGTGGATGGACGGACGGACGGACGGACAGACGGGTGGGTGGGTGGGTGGATGGATAGATGGATGGGTGGGTAGGTAGGTAGGTAGGTAGGTAGGTAGATAGATAGATAGATAGATAGATAGATAGATAGATAGATAGATAGATAGATAGATACAGGTAGTCCTCGACTTCCCACCACAATTGAGCCCAAAATTTATGTTGTTAACTGAGACATTTGTAAAGTGAGTTTTGCCTCATTTTACAACCTTTCTTGCCACAATTGTTCAGTGAGTTACTGCTGTTGTTACATTAGTAACACGGTTGTTAAGTGAATCTGGCTTCCCCATTGACTTTGCTTGTTAGAAGGTTGCAAAAGGGGATCACATGACCCCAGGACACTGTAACCATCATAAATATAAATCAGATCTGAATTTTGATCATATGACCATGGGGTTGCCACAACGATCGTAACTGTGAAAAATGGTTATAAGTCAGATTCTTCAGTGCCATTGTAACTTCGAATAGTTACTAAATTAACTGTTGTAAGTTGAGGACTAATTGTATCTGGTTGTCTGTGTGAGCATAGGTATCTTTATGTATGTCTGTCTGTCATACGTACACAGAGAAAGTTTAGATGACTAATTAAACAATGATTTACATAATTCATGAATATGTTTTATAGTCCAATCTGTTACAGAACTGATAACCAAATTAAAATTTTTGGGACCTTGCATTTTTTTTCCTAAAAAGATACAGCTGGAAAGAGGACCAATCCAGAACTGTGGCAAAGGCAAAAGAAAAAAAATGTAGGGGTTTTTGTGTGTGCCTATGTGTGTGCGTACGCATCACTTTGTTTCATTTGGGGTAACCATTATTTTATAAAATGCATAAAAGAAGGAAAAAGTAATATTCCAGAGAAAATAAAGGTAATGGAGAGAAATAAGTGGAATTTAGTTTGCACCAACACCATCAAATGCATCTTCCATTAATTTTCTATTTTTGCAAACAGAACTCTTAAAAAGTGAAGAGATGAAATTATCTACTCATTCCTCGAAGGCAAAAATAAGCAAAATCAATATAGCAAATAATCTTAAAGGCTGCTTATCTATGTTTTGTGGGAAATAAATGTACATAGAAAATCAGTTGACATACACCCCTTTTATTGTCTTTTACCACTTTCCCTTTTTTCTCCTCCTAGAATCATCCAGAACCGGATTTTGCTTGTTATCTTGGCTGTCATCATCATTTTTGCAGTCCTGATGGTTATTTTTTTTTCTATCAGGGGACATTGATATCTTTGTTCTTTGCTAACCAGCAGCAAACAGCTTCAGAATCATGAAGACAAAGTGGTCACATGAATCATTCTCTTGCACTGAAATGGCTCTCCTTCTCAAAGCCCACAGTCTATCTCTGGTGCAAATAGCAGAAGTGTATGTGTCATTATTGGCTGCATGTTGATTAAATAATTGTCTTTGGTTTAGCAATATTTCATAATAGGAATTTCCATATTTAGCATATGGAATGGCAAACATAATTATCAGCTATAAAGACTGCCGTCATAATTACTGAACTAAATTTAAGGTTTAAGGGCAAATAATTTACACTGGTAATGACAACAATTGACACCCACGATTTGTACTGAATTGGTATTTAAATCTTTATCAGAATCTCCTTTTATAATCCTGGAAATAGAGGCAAATAAATAAATCCATATCCATCCCTTGTCACTTTCCTAACTCTCTAATATATCTCTAAAAGCAAAGAAGCAGTTTCTAATAAATATACCACTTTTTTTGAAAGTACAATTTAATGTCCACTGTGAACTTAATATTTCAAGGTTTATCAGTTTTCTTACCTTGGATTTTCATCTGCCCCGTGTTCTGAATTGTCAGCTAAGTTTATTTTGTAAGTTTTTCCTATCACCATGACATTACACATTTAGTTTTGCTTTGTACTATTGTTATTTTAATGTGTATGGAATTCAAATCAAGAACATACTGTTTAATATGTTTAGGAGATCACTCCATGTCATTTCTGGATCTTAATGTAAGAAAATGATGGCATTTAAAAATCTGTGAATTGTGCTAGAATCAATGTGATGGTACTGTGGTTGAAAGAATATTCTGAATGAATTGTATCCAAAGTGGTCATTTATTAAAAAAATGTCTTAAGTTAATATTTTTGGATAAAATCTGTCCACATCAGGCTCTGTAAAATAAATTAAGCCAGATTTCACGTATCTCCCCTTAGCCTTGTTTTCATAATGATTTTGCCCTCTCATCTCCAACCCAGTTCACATCATCTGTATTTGGATACTGCATTGTAAGCCAAGTTATAACCAAATCCTCATTCTTGTACCCTTTGTATAGCCAAGATAAGTTTACTGTATAGTCTATGCAGGAATATTGTCCAATATTCCTGCATAGACTAGTCAGTTTACCTAGGATGACCTCAAAATCATATTTTCAATGAACACACATATTGCTTGAACACTCCTATTACTTTATTATGTGAAAAGTTTTTTTTTATGTCTGTGCACTTTTAATATATATGACATAATGGATAAGCTCTACAGTCTCACACATATTCTCTCAATCCATTGGACATAACTGGAAATAAAATCTAGCATTAAAACTGAATTTTGTGTGATTTTCCCTTACTCATCCGTGTAATTCAAATAAGCAGTTTCCTCCACTGCCCCTAATAATTGTCAATCCCACAATCTGTGAACATATAATGTAGTATCCACATTTACTAGTGAATTAACTTTATTTGGTTTTCAATTTCCCTGAATGTTGAGAACTATGGAAACTGTGTTTCCCAATGTTCCTTCAATTCATTGGACATTGCTCCACATATTGTAACAGCTTTTAAAACCCTGCTGTGCTATCCACAATAAGCTGAGCAGAGATGATAGAGAAAGAGAAAGCTATAGAACTGTATTTGGAGGAACTACTGTATATTCTAGCCCTTTTCAGTATACAATCCCTGTTTGGTCAATTTTTTTTCAGCATTAATGCCACTGTTTGCCACATTATTGTAAAATAGTTTTGGCTAATGTCCCTTTATATTCTGGTGCATATTAGGAAAGGATAACACAATTACCTAATAATAATCATGCTTTGATAGTTATCATTTGCCTGGATAGGCAAACAGGAAATTTTCATGATAACTTTTGAAGTTCACTATTTATTTGCAAAGATTTAAAATTGTTATGGAACAAACTAAACCATATTATATTACAGAGGCACAAAATATTGGCAATCACCTGAAGGTCATAAGAATCTAATAGCTTTATTCTATCTAGTATTTAAAATAACACTTCCATGATATCCTTGTTCAAACTCTCTGGAATGGAATTTGGCCCTAAACATGTTTACTATACCCAAGCACAAAGAACTGAATGAATTTTATGTTGATGTAGCTGACTCAAATAAAACTAGTGTAACTTAGTAAAGAAATTCAAGATGAAGAGATTCACAAGAGAAATGTTGTTTATGGGAAAAGGTTAAGGCATGTATGTCTTCAGATAAATCATTTAAGTTGTGTAAACAGAACCATAGCTTTTACCTTAATAATAATAGGGAAGGGCTGAGTTCATGGGTTCTGGGCAAAAGGGGATGAAGAAGATGCTTTCCAGTGTTAAAAGTATGTATCAAAGCAGGTCAGGGGATGTACATTTTCACAAATCCTTTGTT